CCATGCCTCAAATTTCTTTCTGTATTGCCTGAGCGCACAGCGTTACCGCCAAGAACTAAAAGATACAATAAGAATTGTTCTAGGACGATTCGGCTGTCAACGCAAAACCGCCATTCCGGCAAACACGGGGGATCAGGGCCATTTGAATAGCATAGCACAGGAACACTTAAGTTCTAGATTTGAAACCAGCAATGACGGAAGTTTTTCCCCAGATGTGTTTGAACCCGACTTGGTCAGATACGGGAGTACTCGCACTCAGACGAGTGCTCTTGATAACGGCAGTACGAAGTATTCTACGAGCGTCGTACAAATTTTAAGTATGTCTCAGGTTACCGCCGACTGCTCCACAGCTGATGATGCTGATGCATCTGAAAACGTGTTCTCTACGCACATGTAATATTACCCTCTTTGTTCTACGGGACTTCAGCTTCACACATATTCTTAACATGAGAAGTGCTCAATATTCTCGTGTGATCCTATTTGCCTTCATACATCACTTATTCTAAAACAGTCTGATTGCAGTTAAACGCTGTGTAAATGAAAACCACTTGTGCATGGGACAGCATTAACGTAACTTTCGATTTTCTATGTCTGGAAATGACGTTGGCGTTGTCAGAAGCATCCATTTTGTGCATATAACGAAATGGAGATTTTTCTCATTTTGTGCTCTGTCAAAATGTTGTCATAGTCGTTCGTTTAATATCAGTTTATTATTATTATTATCTTAATAAAAATGCGCTACACATACGCATCAGTGTAAAATGCATGGGTTAAGTACAATAAGAATTCCTAAAGTTGGTGATGTAAACTAAATAAGAAAGCCTTGCAAACATTATGAAAACCAAACTTGACTTTATTATTCTAAGACATGTCGAATATATTAAAGCATTGTTCAAAGAATATTAAATGGTGGCTTGTTACATATTCATTCAAATACTGTTGAAATGAAAATGCTTTAACTATAATAATTAGATGTCCTTTTATATTATCTACCTCAGTACGTCTATGACAAATTTGTGGATTTCCGTCTGATGGTCACTTTGAGCCCTTACCCTCATTCTTTGAGCTTTTCCTCTTGCTCACCATACGGTACATTACATTTTTACATCATTATTATAACCTCTTTCCTAGCCTATGATTCCTACCCAATCCTATCCTACATTGCCCCCTCCCCTATCCTATCCTACCCTATATCCTACATTGTACCCTACCGTACCTTACCGTACCCTATCCTATTCTACTCCTATCTTATCAAATCCTTACCACTGATCATGCTTTCACTCTCAGGCCACTTTCATTCTCTCTCCCAACTACCAGACGCGGCACGGAAGGATCCAGAATCACCGTAGATCGGATCACGCTACCGGTTTCCAAGGTGTGTACATGTATTAGTACGCGCCATGAAATATCAGAAGCAGCACCCTCTTGCCTGGTTTAAGCGTGCCGCGTCTGATAGTTGGGTTGGCCTGACTCTCGCCACTGACTTAGCCAAGGTTGTTATTGGGCTAATGTGGCGAAACAGAGGAGGAAAGGATGGTCCTTTTGGGGAAGTAATAGATGACCCTTTGTCGGCAGCAATCTCCAGACTTTGCCCAAACAATCCGCAATGACGCGTTGTTGATTGAATTTTTTTTACCTTTATTTCAGGGCCGTAGCCTGAGCAAAATGCCAGGGGGGGCAGTAAGCGGACACGAGGGGGCGAAGCCCCCGAGGGGGGAGGGTGTGTCCCCCTCCCACGGTGTGGAAATTTTTAAAAAACTGTATGTATAATACTGCATTCTGGTGCATTTTAACTGTAATTTATTGGTCAATCAGTAGTCAGAAATTGTGGGTTCATTTTGCCATAAGTACAGTCATTTTTTCAACAAAACACGCCAATTGGCCTGGGGGATAGCTCCCTCAGGGAGGATGAGCTTTTTGGCATGAACAGAGTTGGCTAAAAAAAGTACACCTTTGTAAACAGATTGTTGAATGATTGTCTAGTGGCCATGAGTGCCTTTTCTCACAGAATTGATACCAACTTTGCAATTATTTTTTTTACCTTTGCGATTATTTTTTTTTGCACCCCAATTTCCAGGGGGGGGGGGCACCTGCCCCCCCCCCTCTGCCCCCCCGGAGGCTACGGCCCTGTATTTAGTATCTTTTAACAGTTTCTTTTGACACTTTCAAGACATGTAATAAAAGACAATTTTAGAAGACTTCAGTTCTCTGAGGGAATCGAACATAGGGAGGTTGGCCGCTTCGCAAAATTCATCAGTTTCAGAACATGTTGTCACTGCACCTAGCTACCCTGATCCTTCATCGGCAGTACATGGACAAGCAGCACTTTTGACGGCCCCCCTATTCCGCAAAAGGTCAAATTCTTGCACATGTCCTATGGTTGACGAACCACTTTATTTTTCTTCGTCCATGGGTCCCTAAATACTTACGGCTCTTTCCCAGTGACATTATCGGTCAACGTAGAGCGATCTAAATCCGTGGGGACTCTTGCAGAATGCAATCAGTTAACAAATTATCACGCCACCTCTTGTTTCCATGTGTACACGCATAATAACCAGCTTTTCTACGCAACGCCAGGAGGAGGCGTGTCATTCAGTTAATCTGATTGCATTCAGCGAGGGTTCAGCGAGACGTCGGCGTATTTTTCTCATGACTATACGTTTTTTTACACACTTAAGATAACCGTAAAATGTATTCTGTGTAACTTGATATTGAGTGGTTTTATTCAAGTGGACCATCCTACGGTGAGTTTCAGAGAATTGGGATTGACAGGTATCTGTGTGTTCGTGTTGGAATCTCTAGAGGGTAGGTATGGAGTATTTTACCACTTTTTGATTGATGGAGAAAGAAATGAAGAAAGTTTGGCTGACATTTCTATTATTGTTATTGCTACCACCACCACCACCACCACTACTACTACTTGTAAATAGCACCAATGAAACTTTCAAAAGAAACATGTTTCTATGCAGCCAGCAATTGAATTACCGTCGTCTGGGCGAAGTAACATTTGACACACACACACACACACACACACACACATATATATATATATATATATATATATATATATATATATATATATATATATGTGTGTGTGTGTGTGTGTGTGTGTGTGTGTGTGTGTTGATATTTAATAAGCTTGGTGCAGATATTCGTCATCATTAGTAAACAGAAGTAACGAAGTTTATCAAAATGACAGTGCGTACATTCCAGTCTTAAGAACAGACACTAATAGCTCCTTACCGACGGGTCAGATCTTAATTGCACGGAAATCTTGTCATTCAATGACAAATGCCCGTCTGTGTGAAGCAACAGGAAATTGGTTGATTTGCCTTTCGTTTCGCTTACATCTAATAGGCCGCCCAGTGGTGTAAGTGATGGGATTACTAGCGAATGCGTGTGCCATTTGCGTGCTCAACAGACCTTCCTTACGCAAGAACACTACATGTATATTTCTCATTATTTATATATACTCGCATAATAATAAAAGCTACTGTTATTAACAATAAAAGCTACCGTCGTATTTAAGTTTTTATTTTATTTCTGTGGAACCGTGTATAAATCGACTATTCTTTCAATAATAATTTGTACTGTTAGAATATACAGTAATTGATTAGTCATGATCAGATATAAATGGCAATACAATTGAGGGTTAAGAGTTCAGCGACAAGAAATCTATATAAACATTTCGTGTGGAGATACAGTGTAAATTTTAAGAGGCGTATCTAACTTATTTGAAACGTTTTGAGAGTGATAGATGGAAGTTTGCAAAATGTTTGTTTTTGCTTAGCTTCTTGGGAAGTGGATAGCGTTTTATGTTCACGTGTTTTGCAGTTTTTTTCCACAGTCTTTCTGTAAGCAAAATCTAGCAAAGAAAGAAAATTTTCTGAAGCTTAGACCGCCCACCTCCCCCACGCCACTTTATTTATGTTAAACGGATACCTATAATTATAACCATTATTATTACTGTTAATAGTATCATTATTATATTTTCCCGATGCCATGAAATGCATAAGTTTCACTTCCACTTTTAGAACAAGTACAGCCATATATGACATTAATCTTACTATGCTACTGCATTTCATCAGATAGATATTATTTATATTTTCATGTCTAATGATAAAAGCTACAGATATTGTATTTTAGCATTTATTTATTTATTCGTTTATTTATTTATTTATTTATTTGGCGCGGGGTGGCAATTTCTTTTAGTAATAAAAATCTGCAAATATTTATGTGAATATTTGTCGTGAATAACCTCTCATTCGTCTGTGCCTTTAGAATTTAATGAAGAAATAGTGATACTCACAAACATGCATTTGCTTCTACTCCGCATAATAATGTGACCTTGCGCCTGCACCACACAATGTTGCGACTACGCCCAACCGTGTCCAACTGCCAATAACCTATTGGGAAGACAGTTTGCCCTACGATGAGCAACATATTGTTATTGTTATGCAAATTACATTAGGTGCATATGGCTTATTCAGGTGGGGGTTGTTCAGGGGCGGATACATGATTATTTGAGGGTTGGGTCCGCGGATGCGGATTTAGAGAGGGGGGGGGGTTCAGGGGGGTCCTGCCCCCCCCCCCCCTTCGTATTCTGAAAAAAAAATCACACTAATTTTTCCCTCTTGAAATTATAGTTTTCTAGCTGATTTATAGCTCTAAGTCGTTCCAAATGGCACGTGCCGTTCGCCCTCTAAAATATTGCAATTTTTCCGGCCCCTTCAGCGGGCCCCGGACCCCATCCGCGGACCACCCCTTCAAAAAAATCCTGCTAAAAAAGGGCTCAATCTTAATTTCTACGACTAAGCTTTTACGACTTTAAAAATTTTTTACAGTATTGTTCATATTTAATTTGATGATGACAAAACACTGATGTGAATAATACTAGCATTTTGTCTTGTGTTGAGTGCAATGAATAATGATGAAGCGGATACTTTTTTATTTTCATTAAGAATACGGCATTTACGACAACCGTTACTAGGTAATCTATCTACATGCCTGTCGCAAGGCTGACGTTCTTGCAAGAGGGATTTTCCATGGTGGGTTTAATATATAGCTAACAATGAGCGGGTGCATATTACCGCCTTCACCTAGCTGGTACTGCAGCAAAATTAGTGACAACAATGAGGCGGGGATATTTATATATGGTGCTAGAAACAGCCTCCATCTCCTGGACACTAATGTTCGACCCCCTCGGTTCGTAGGGGACATTCAGCACGCGCACGGGGACCGAGTCACAGGACTGTCTCTGTGCAAGCATGCGGGCCTGAGACACCTCTGCAGCAGTAGTGGGGACGATGGCAAGGTGAAGATATGGAGTTTGGAATCCAAGACATGCTTGCACGAGCACCGTTTACACGATAAAGTAAGTTGATACCTCTCGCTCAAGACGTCTCAATTTTTGTGCCTTACAAGTTTCATTCTACAGGGGTAATATAAGACCCCATAACACCCAGTGATACAAAATCTTGGCGCTATAGATATCCACATCGTGGGAAAATTTGCCTGTCCTCCATCGCATATTGTAGTATATCTTGTGCAATACCCCCCCCCCCCCCCATCACACACACATGCATAGACATACTGTGCATATACATGTAATACATGTACATGTACAGGCCCATAGCCAGCAATTTCAAAGGGGGGGGGGGTTCTTTTATTGAAAAAGTGGACCTTTTACCATATAATCCCCATGTACCTAGGTCAAATTTTACCCAGAGTGGACCTTTTTCCAGCAAAAAAGGGGGGTTCTTTCAAACGCCCCGAACCCCCCCTGGCTACGGGCCTGATGTATATCTAATACTGTACTTTAATTTACAAGCAATAGAAATGTACTATCATGTTCTTCTCTTCATAACTTCAGAACAAAGTGACGTGTGTGGACTGGTCAGTGGTGAAGGATGACCTGGTCATCAGTGGAGATGACAGAGGGGGTCTGGTTTGTTGGAACTACACCTCTGGGTATCATAAGAGGTTCACACCAGAGGGCAGCATAATCTGTTGTCTAACTGCTTCACCACATGATTTAAGACATGTAGCCGCTGGGTGAGTGGGGCATTTGCACGGCATATTATCACTGCATGCATGGCCATTGCTGCTTGGTACTGTACATGTGTAAACAAAGTTCATTGAAAGTTACATGTATGAGTATAACCAAACCTCTGCAGCAATAGTGCATTAGAATTTCCCTCAAGGAAGACATTTAATTGTTGAGAACAACTCGACACGTACTATAGTACATCATTTTAACTTTTCATAAGAATTTTTCATTCCAGTTCTTGTATCATAAAAAAGTGACTAAAGACAGTGGGTACAGTATCAGCTCTTAAGTACTGAAAATAAAAATTTTGTTACCCAAATCTATCATCTTATTATTGTAAGTCCCTTTATGTTCATTTTAGCTACAAAAGTGGTCTAATTCTGCTGGTAGATATCTCTCAGAATGGAGCCATACTACACAGACTGCGAGGTCATGATGATGAGGTTCATTGTGTTGTGTGGTGTCCTACTCTTGGGGAAGAGGTGGGAGACAACTGGAGGATAAATGAAACAGAAAATGGTAGGTCTAAGTTTAACTAGGGGTATAAATTTCTATGCCCATTGGTAAAGATAAATGAACTGTTGCTTGTCCATTACCGATTTTGTCAAAGATAGATGCTGAACCCCCCCCCCCCCCACACACACACACACACACAAACACACTTACAAAATGAATAAGCAAATAAATGAATAATTGCAGTAACTCACCAGTAAGTGTTTCATGTCACCTAAAACCAGATCATTGTAGCTCTGTGAACTGTCCTCTGATTTCAGGGGCCTCTAAAATAGCATATACAAAAAATAAAGTACAGGCGATACACTAATTTTGTATCAGACTACTGGCCAACCCTGTGATCAAATTGTACTATAACCCACATCACTATAAATCATTATAACCCTGGTACTAGATCTCTCTCATTTAGTCAACTCTAATATAATATAATATAATATAATATAATATAATATAATATAATATAATATAATATAATATAATATATAATATAATATAATATAATATATTTCCAGGGGACACCAGCGATGCAGACCCCCCTACAGACCAAGGCTGTTTGCTGGCGTCTGGCAGTAGAGACAGGACAATACGGCTTTGGAGCACCACCAGGGGGCGACAGGTCAGTCTGCTGAGGCTACCGTCCAGTCATGGTCAGCGCAGAGACAAAGGCGAAGACTGGGGCAGGACGAGGGTGTGGCTGACCATATACTGGCCAAAGTGCTGGCCACTGCAGCTTGTATCTAGCACTCAGAGGTGGGTAAACTGTGTGTGTGGATTAAAGTGTATTTTGATTTATTTTTCTTTAATGAAAATCGAATAGCATACCATTGAATTACATCAAGAATGATTCTTGATTACATTGAATTCATGTGAAACTTGACTGCCACTTTATTATTATTATTATTATTTGCATGAGAAAAAAAAACAATATGAATAATTCAAATGAGATTTTTGTTTTCATAGTGGCGACCTGCTACATTGGACGCCATTTAGTTCTCAGAAACAAAAATGGCAGCCACTGAACCATAAGGAGGCCGGAGGACACAACCGTATTGTGTTTAATATCTGCTGTGGTGGAGTGGATATGGATACTCTTTGTACGATATCCATGGATAGACAGGTCTGTGGGATCTCATCTTATTGGTTTCTGTAAGATGTTAACTGTCATTTATCATTTTAAAGACAGTACTATCAAATAATGGTATGATTTAAAATGTTTGTTGTAAATAGATTATGTGTTTTAAAAATTTTCCAAAAGATAGAATACATTCACTGAAAATGATTTATTTGTACAGGTTCAGATTTGATTATTCACTGGTACATGTTAAAAGATCCAAGAATCATTGTTCACATTATTGAAGTCAACAATCATGATTTAATCTGGTTGCTTCCTTGTTTCATTGACTAGAGCAAAAATTTTTTTACTGAAAAGAGATGTATTATGAAATAAGTTTTTTTTTTCAGATTGTTGTGTGGTCGTTAAGAGACCTATGCTCTGTACAGAGTATTCCGACTTTAGGGGGTTTTGCCTACAATGTCGCTGCCTCTCCAGTGGATCCAAGTAAGTGCAAGGAGATGCCAGGCTGAATAAATCCAGTCTTAGAAATTACATTGTAGAGAATTAAGATTGCATTTTCCATCAGTGCTATTCAATACAACAGACATATTGAGTCAGGTATATGTTTTATATTCTCATTTTGAGATATTTTGACTGATATTTTGTTACTGGATTATAATATACAGGATAGGTAGGAAAAATGAGGCTTACTGATGAATTCTGCATGTATTCCCAGTAACAGGCATGTGTTGTGTTTCAGGTCGCGTTGCCATTGGTGTTGGAGACCAAATGATACGAGTGTGGAACACTGGTAACCCTGGTAACCCGTACGACTACCTGTTACTGTGGCAAGGGATTAGAGGAAAAGTTACTGCTGTAAGTATTGCAAAACATGGTTCTAAACTTGGTGTATAAGAAACTATTCTGTGCCAAATTGCTGTTTTTATTTTGCTATTCTTATTGGTATTGTCTTGAACTTCAGTTACAGTTCAAGTTTGATGTAGTCTCCACCCAATGAAAAAGAAATGTGAAAAAAAGAATGGAAAAACTAGTGGAATATAGACTCATTCGTTTGTATCTTTATACAGCAAAAATCATATCTCATTATTATTTTGTCTTTATTTGAATTATTTTTCTGTTTTTATTTCTTTCTTATTTGCTGGCCAATGCTTGTCGAATTTATTAAGAATGTGTTGCTTTTCCGTCTTCAGCTGAGTTGGCACCCAGACAGGGAGGGGGTTCTAGCTTATGGCACTGATGACGGCAGAGTAGGCATATATGATGTCTTGTCTAATAGGTATGATTTATATTTTAGTTTGAGAATTTTCAACAGACATTAGACTTGGTTTTATGTAGATTTTAAGATATGAATGGGGTATTAATGAATCTCCATGTAATGATGTATATTTAAGTTGTTGTTTTATACTTTTGTTCCATTTTTGTCAACTATGTCAAGAACCAAGGCACACAAAACTGAAAAGTAATCAATAAATCATACATTTATGCAATATTTTCTAGAGAAAAGACGCACCAACTTTCAGATTGTTTAATTTTAAAGTGTTACAAATGTAGTGTGGATGACAATTCTCAATCTATTAATTTTTTAGTGTATTCAGTTCTCTGTTCCTTTTGCAGAGGTATAACAATAACCAGCATATGCAGTTTGATTTTTCTTTTGGTCATTTTTTATAATAAATATGCATTTCCCCCCTCCACTCAGGCCTCCTCTAGTGTCTAATACATACCACAAGAAGACAGTCTATGTGGTCTCATGGGGACCTGCAGTTCAGCAAACAGGTATGGGCAGAGTTTGTGTTATGAAGTGATCTTAAACCTGGTCCAGTTTGCTTCTGGTATTTGAAGTGAATAAGTTTTTGTTTTGAATGAGATGTTGGTTTAAGTAGAGCATTAAATTTAATATTGGTCCGTGCACTTTCTGGCACACATGATGTTCCAAGATATAAAAGAAAGAAATCTTTTACTCGATGTTACAAATGAGGTTAATTACATCCAGTTATGAAGTAATGTGAATCAGGCCAAACAATCATTTTGTCAGTATTTTTCTAGATCCCATCAAAGTGCTCCATGCAGTGTACAGTGTTGGTGATGGTGTGATTTTACAACATGACCCCCACAAGCTGGATACGCCGGCCCTGCAACTCAATGATGAGATAGCCAGGGTGAATGGAGACAGGGTAAAAGGATCAGCACTTTATGTGATACAGTACCTGAAAGTTTGTAGACAAATATCAGACTAAAAATATGGTCCTTGCTTTAAAAAAAAACAACAAATAATTAAAGGTATTTTAAATATGTTTCAATAGATTATGATAAATGAATAAAATGGTTAATTAATTAACTAAATGAAATTTGCTTTTCCACAAATTGCTTTTATTAGGGAGATTTACCACACTTGAGTGATTAAATGTCTCTCACATTTTGTAAAATTTAGACAATACTGTGCAATTAGTTCATTGCAAAATATGGTATGTCATATTTAGTTTGATTAAAAATTTTAATGGTTTTGCCACCATTCTGGCTGTGTCCACTTAAACATGGTAAAAATTCATCTTAAAGGAGATCCAATTCCTTTCAGAAATTTCCAATTCGCAGTGAAATAAGTTGGAAGTCAGACTTTTCTGTGGTGGCCATTGGGAATGATGATGGGTAATTATATAAGCTAAATATAATGTTAGGCAATAATGTCAGTCTTTGCTCATTTACAGAAAAGGTTTCAGTCATTTTAAGATAAAGCTCATTATTGATTTCAGAAACCCTTATCAATATTGGTGGTATAAAAGGTGTAACAGTACATGTATTTTATTCTGCAGTCAGAGGTTATATTCTGGTAATGTTGATCTTAATGTCACATGTATGATATATGGAAGTTCAGCAGTGAAGTTTAGAATCTGTTTAAGGTGGTTAAAAGGTGGTTAAAAGCAAAAATTTAAATAATTTTTTAAAAGATTTCTTGGGGCTGTTCATAATAAGATTAGGATTTCTGGTGGTATGATTTTCTATATGCTACACACCAGGTCAGTGGAAGTGTACCAGACCTCCTCACTGAAGCTGTTATGTACAGTCCAAGTACACAGAAAACTGATCAACTGTGTCCGCTGGCATCCCCAGCACGTAGGTACCACCAGCAGCCCTTCCCCCTACAGACACTGGCTGGCTTGTGGCTCCAATGAGTCCGTGATTCATGTCTGCGATCTTGGGAATATTTTGGGTAATTGGTATTTATTTATGATATTGATAAGTTATATGTTTCTTGTCAAAGATTATTGATTAAGTATTACTGTCATATTTATGGGCACATTTTAGATAAGCCCGCTCGTTAATTTAAGTTTTCATTTATTAAAAAAAAATGCCAGTTCAAATTGGTGTAATTAATTTTAGCTTAATACATGTTATTATTGTAATTTGCTTGTAGTATGTTAACTGATTAAATAGACTACATGAACCGATTTTATTACGTGATATCATACTCTATAAAAGACAAGATCTAATTCTAATACTTTGCATATTTATAGAAAGCACAGAGGATCCACCACCTGCTCCAGTGTGTATAACTGATAGTTTCTGCCAGTTAGAGGACCACAGCGGTCGAATCACTGGACTTTCATGGAGTCTTCACACAGACGCTATGTTGGTGTCGGCTTCATATGATGGAACTGCAAAGGTAACACTGAAGCCATTATACTGTTATTGGTATGAAAGAAAACTTGTTGAAAAATATTATGTAAATAAAAATATCTCTTAATTGAAGTTATATTTACTAAAGCAAATAGTTTGTTGTTTGTCTTTAATTTATCTTTAGTAATAAGTAAAAAACTTCTACTTGCTTAAAGTAAACTTAGTCTACCAGGAAGATTTTGGTTAATTATTTCATTCACACTATTACCAGTCTTAAAAGGCAAAAAAATCTTTATCAATTTACATTTTTGTCCATTTTTGACTCCAGGTATGGAATGTCCTGAAGAGGGAGCCAGTGGCATGTTACACAGGTCACAATGGTCGTCTGCTCACTGTGTTGTGGAGCAGTGTGGACTGTGATGTCATATTTAGTGGAGGGGATGACTTTGCCGTCCACCAGTGGAAACTGTCTGAGTGGGAGGGGCATGAAGATAAAGGTGAAATAACTATGCCATGTGATCCAATGAAAGAAAATTAAAATTGTGTGTGCAGATGTGTAAATAAATGTTCAACATAGTTAAGTTTTTTTGTGCATATACGTAACTGCAGTAAAGCTGAAGGTTTTTGAAAATTGTTTTACTATCTAGACCTGTCTAAAAATGTGAAATTCATTTCTTTTTTATCATTGTCATTTATCTACATGTTTATTGCCTTACTGTAAGTGTCTATAAGTAAAACAACACCATGCAGTGTTTTCCTCCTTTGCTCCACAGGAGGGCCTCAGAAAAGAAAGAAATATAAAAGCAAAGGTAGAAATCATCACAGCAGCCAGAACCATAGAGCAGAAATCTCTGATTCTCCAAGGGAGCCTTCTTCCAGTAATACTCAAAATGAAATTTCCACACAGGATACCAATGTGCCTAAGTCACATTCTGTAGATGTTTCTGAAGTGGAAGAGCTACAAAAGATGTTAAACGAGAAGAGAAAACTTCTAGAAGAGCAACAACGAGTGGAGGAAGGGAGTAATGGTACGATGGAGGCAGTTTTTCTGAGTCTAGTTTAGATGTGAATTCTATTTCAGGTAGTCAGCTATGTAAATCAGTGAAACTTTGAGATTTTTTCTTTGAAGTGGACCTTAATATGTTTACTAATTTAAAAGAAATTAAAGTTACAGTGTACATATTGTATATTTTAGATACATAGTCTAATATTTTAAACTTTACCAACTTTTTCATATTGTTTTGACATATCTCATTAATTTTAAAAGACCAATCAGGAAGAATGAATGTGGTGGAAGACAAAGGGCAACTGTTGTCTGCCATATTTGGCTCAGCTGCTGCTGCTGCAGGAGAGGGTACAGTGGTGCCACCTACACATTTGATAAATAGAACAGGTTAGTGTTCAGTTGCTTTCATTCTCAAACAGCGCAGACCAGATGAAAACAGCAATTTGAGTACAAAGACAGCAGTTTGATTCATAAGATAAATCAATTAGAAAATTCTTTAAAAGGTACATGTAAACTGGAAATTACCTCAAGTAACAGTGTCATTTTGTGACCAGAGCTCATAGGGACCATCATTAAGTTCCTGACTGTTATGTAAGCATGGTTATATCAGTCTTTGTTTTGACTTTTGTGTGCGAGGTTAATCTAAATCTGTTTCTTGTGAAAAAAAAAACTGCTTTGATTGCTAATTGGATGTAAATGGACATAATTTTTAAAGAAAATATACATAGCTGATGTCTGGTGTTCATTCATTTTCCAGTGATTCCCAGTATAGACCACAAGGACAGGAAGAAGAGGAAGCCCAAGTCCCTGTTCCCTGTGTCAGGGGCTGCCGAAAACAGAAGCAAGGGGGCAGCACAGGAGGACTGTGTGCACCTGGCAAAGCAGATGTGGGGTCAGTGACATACATTTCATGACTTTAAAGTGTTTGGTATTAGTTACATTTAACATTTTGTGCACTGTGATAAATAAAATCAAATTAAATATTCTGTCGGAAGATTGAAAAATTTATTGAATCTGGATCGTGCTCTTGAAAGGTCATCAGTATAGAATATATTTCACATTTTCAATAGTTTTATGAATTTGGAGAATATTGTCCCTAGTCACAATGGATTAAAATGATAAAATCTTGACATTTATACTAATCAGTTTGATTAAAAAAGAAAAATTTATAATAATTTGGCTTCCTATTTATCCCTTGACCCATGAGATAAACTGGACCAGATTCACATTGTTATACTCTATACAGGAAAAGCTCCAGAAGATGCCAAGGTTGACACCAATCATTTAGGACTGTACCTTGACAGACCCCAGGTGTATGTGCTGCTGAGGAAGGAAGGTGGGACTGTTTTATTCCTCCTTCTACTCTTTTTAAAATGATTTTAGCATTTTGTATTGAATTTTTGTAATGTCATATGGAGGTTCTAATAAGGGTAAACGAACAGGGGGTTAGAGTGTGATGAGCAAGGTGAAACAAGTGTGGTTGCCAAAGAAAATAGATGAAGTTTGGGTGTTATTGAAAAACTAAATTAATTGTACAGTTCTAATTAAAAGAGTTATAAAAAAATGTGTTTTCATATTCAGGTGATCACCATGTGTCTCAAGGTTATATAGATGGTTATCTTCAGCTGGAGGTTTGGAAGGGAAACGTGTCTGGAGCCTTGAAATATGCTGCAGAACATGCTGTCCTCTCGGACTGGTTGATGTCCATAGCACCCATGGGTAAGTCTTGTCTAAATTGGCACCTCAGTCATGGTTCCTGATCTAGACAGCTGATTGATGTAATACTTCTGTAGCCTCCCCTGTTCACATCACTAATGCCTTCTGTAAACTTCTGTAAAAAATGAATAAAAATGATGATCCAAATTGTTGTCAAAGGTCATTTTTTTTTAGCTTTTCACTTTGTACATGAAAAAGTCTACTCTTTTTAGACTTGTAAAAATAATCATAAAATTGGGTGACCCCTTATGGACATGATTTTTGGAGAAAAAATGGGTGAAAGTTCTCTTTTGTCAAAAAGTGACTGGATATTTCAGAAGTCTTCAAAGTGAGGAGAATTTAAGTGTAGGTAAGACATTTCTCCTGAATTGAATTCATTTGTTCCTAATACTAGCTATTCCTGAATTAAAAAACATGTTTCTAGAACCCCACCTTATTATTTCTCCACTGGTGTTTGTTTATTTCTGATCAGCTTCCAAGCGGACATATTTGGAGCTATGTGAGGTATATGCTCAGCAGCTGGAGAAGGAAGGGAACTACCATAAGGCCGCCTCTTACTACCTAGCCTGTCATAAGGTCTATGAAGCAATTGATATGTTGAAGAGGAATCGGCTGTTCAGGTAGATCTTATTGAGTTTTAACTTGCTTATGCCTTGAAACCGAAGTTGTATTACCTAACTGATAAGATATGTGAATTTGAAATTTAAAATTATTGTATGTGCTTACATTGTGATTAGTTTACTTCTTTGGCTCCTATATGAATACTGGCTAATGAATATCAATTTTGTTTCTTAATTTTTAACAAAAGTACTTCTGCATTTCTGCATAGATTTTAAGATGTTATCAATGAAACACTCAAGACCGCATTAAAGGAACTGTTACAATGTTAACACTTCCAGTATTTTCAGTGAGATATTTTGGCAACATTTGCTGTGTATTTTTTAGGGAGGCAGTTGCCTTGGCCAAGTTACGCCTCTCTCCGTCAGATCCACTGCTCTCCAGTCTGCAGGAATCCTGGGGGAGACATCTTGCTAAAGATGGCAGCTATGAACAGGCTGCAAAATGGTGGGTAATAATGCTGGGTACTGGCACTGATTATTTAAAGCAACCACGCTCTTTTAACATATTTTCCTGTTAAATTTTCAAGACCAGTCACAAGGAATGAAAACTATATCTGAGAAGTGAGAGAAGAGTCAGTCACTGGTATCTCTTACTATATCAGAAACACTAGTACTGTAGTAAATTGCATGTGAATATGAACCAAGTAATACTAATTGTTTTATAATTTAGGTAAAGTGTCAGCTCAGATTAGCTGTATGATTTTAATTGCTATTTGAATGTTATGAAAACATATACCCTTCTTTTGAATAGCTATTTGGCACTGAAGCAGCCTCTTGAAGCAGCAAAACTAATGGCACGGCGAGCAGACCACTCTGGATTGGCTGCTGCAGCCCATGTGACCATATCAGCCAATGAGATTGAAGCTGGGATGGTGTATGCCCAGCGCTATGTACAAGAGTGCTTGGCAGTCTGTGACTGGGCTTCTGCAGTAATGTTCTCAAAGTCTGCTGAACAGTTTACAGTAAGAATTTGATGAAAAATATTTACCATTTTAATTACTGTTTCTTTAAACTTTGAGTTTCAGTTTATGCTTCACTAGCTGTTACAAATGTCCAAACAGTGCCAATCATAGACATAGAAAAAAGAGCGAAATGAAAATTTAATATAACTGTAACTGTTACTGCTTTGTAATGCTAGTAGATAATATAAAAATCACCAGTTATAGACACATACACAGATTTTAACTTTTTACAACTTGACATACTGGAAGGTTGGAGGTGGAGGAACCATCTGTTCTTTTCATTGGCATCCAGTTTATCTGCATAAAAACAGATTTATCTGCATAAAAAACAACTTCCAGTTTATCTGCATAAAAAACAACTTCGTCTCACAAACCTTGGATCAGCCCTAGGGTCACTGCACTACATTAACATTTTCCAATTCTTCTGCAGGTTCTGGCCTTGTTTGTGACAATGCATGAAGCTGTCTTGAGGTTTCTTGTCAACCAGAAATGTCTGGACAGGAATTATCTGAAGAAGTCATGTCCAGGTGGTTTACTGACCACAGAGGCACTGGAGCATGAGGAACCAAGAAAAGGTTAGTCAACTGGGGAAAACTTTCATCTTCCTGAAGTTGAAAAAAATAAATAATTATTGGGCAGCTTTTTTAAAAACATTATTTGTGAAATTATTGGATTGTCTGTACTTATTGGTGGATTGATATCTGCAGTGCTTTGAAACATTGTAAATTATTGTAAAAATAAGTATTTCAGTAAACATTACCATCACATTTGATATGTGCAATATGCAGTCTGGTATACTTAAGCAATAATAACTTGTTTATGATTTTCACTTTAAACAACAATATACTATTAAAAATAAAACTTAAAAATTTACAGGTGATGGTGGCTTTCCTCAGTGGTGCACTGTTCTGATTGAAGGAGAAACTTTTATGCAGTATTTTACCAACCTGCTGAAAGCAAAGATTTTACCTGAGTCTCTGGAAGAGTCTGGTGGTTGGAGAGATGTATATGAACAACTGATGAAGTGGAGGGCAGTGAAACAGGGACAACTGTCCACTTTACAGGTTTTAAATTGTTATTATTATTGGACATTACTTATAACAGTAATAGTATTGGTTATAACGTAGTAGTTAATAGTACAGAATACGTAGATATGACATGCATATAGAAGTCAACTTAGAAGTTTTCTGTAAATCTGTAGTTCATATGAGTTAACTTTGTTGCAGTTTGGATATTTTTACTTGTAGTAAAATGCCAGTTTTCCTCTTTTCTCAGTTTCTCATCCATGTTGCTTTGGAAACAACTCTGGGAATTCTCGCTCTACAGTGGGGAGATCTGGAAGTGGCGAGTGGGCATTTCTTAGAAGTTTTAGCTGGAGCCTATGAGCTAGGCCATGTAGACATAATGATAGAGCTGTGCAGAATGCTGTTTCCTCAAGGAAAGCTTACAGTGGGAGGTGAGTTTTCTTCACTTAAAGGAATAGCTGAAATCTTTATAATATTTTATCTGAGTCTCCTACATGTAGGTCATTGTGCTGTTTTAATCAAACTTTGTTTTAATGACTGAGGTATTTAAACCTGAAGCAAATCCAGTGTGACCATCATAACAATTCCATTAGATTTCATAGACTTTTATTACCATGAAGAAACAAAGTCCATGGGAATTTATGGTTTGCATGTATATTTTATTAAGGTGAACTGCATTATTTAAATATCACAAGAACAACCATATATTTTATGAAGTATATTAAGAATAATTTATAAAAGTGTATGTTCCCTATACAAGAGAAATATCTTTTAACCCAATGGGAGCACAGAATTATTCATAGTTTTAAATTTATAAAAATGACTGTTTATTTCAGGGGCGAAGGTCACTCAGCCAAAGTCTAACACTAACACTTCTCTCAAAGAGATGGTTCAGTCAGCACTTGACGGAGGAGATAATGATATTACAGCCAGCAGACAGGCAAAGAATATCTCCCCAGAGCTGTTCCACACAAGCAGGCAAGAATGCAGTACACAAGACAGTCTGAATGCTTTCATTGCCTTGTCCATTCTCCTTGATGTGTGGTGGAAAAATGCTGCGAACTGCACTGCCAGGAATGTAGTGTCTGGACACGTAGAAAACGGGGAAATGGACACTGTTTATGCATCTCCTTTCCCTGATAACAAAAATTTCAGTCAAAATGTTGAAGAGGAAAGGCCAGCAAGATCTGAAAATGGTGATATTGATGACACTGGGTTATCTATTAATTGTACAGAAAATGGCAAGGAGTCAATTTCATCTAGTCTTCAGTATAGTGCAAAAGCAGAGTGCAATAACAGTTTTTCAGTACAAAATTCAGATCACTTAGATCTTCTTGATGGCAAGGTTTTGCAAGAACTTTGTCAAGCTTTATTGTGGGATGTCCATGCAGCTAGAAACAAATATAATTACCGTTTGATGGAGATTGAAAAAACATTGGCCAAAAATACTTCTGGAAAAAAGGACAATCAAGATATGACGACAGATTTACACAAAGAAGGCTCTGAGTTGGAAGGTGCGGAAAGTGTTGAATGTGCTGAAAATAACAGAACTATGAGAACAGAAACCTGTAGTGTTGTTACCAAAAGTGAATTGGAGATAATTGATAATGAAGGGAATATGCATCCCTCTGGTAGTGATGCTGAGACCATTATAAATGGTACTGATGAGAAAGATGGACCTAAGTGTGTTAGGTGTGACAGGGCTGATTGTGTTGGATGCGATAATGACACACCCAATGCAACTGATGACATTAGTTCAAAAGCTATTGGGATGTCTTTACCAGAACCGGGTATTGAAGAACACTTAGTAAAAGATGATCAAATTCATGGAATAGATGGAAGTAAGGTTAACTCTGCAAATGGAGGAATGGTGGACACAGTCCAGTCGGAAGAGAAAGAACTGAAAAAGATGTTGGAAAGATTGCCTGCTCTTCCTAAGGTAAAGGGACCTTTAAACTGTTTCATGTCAAAGGTTCATTTTCTCCATCCAAAATAATAAGCAAAGTTTTGAAAATAGATAAAATTGTAAGCAATGCCATGTATAATACTTACATAATTCTAATGTGATATTATAATGTAGTTGTGCTTTTCATAGAAACCGTTTTAATAATATTATGCCTTCATAAATTCAGTTGTTCATTATTTTTATGAATAATCCCGTTGCATTTTTTTGTTAATAATTTTTCATTCTAGACCAAACTTCAAAAAAACTTTCCTCTATAGAACAAGATAGAGCATACCAACTCTTTTGATTTTAATGTTGTTTTGATATGATAAATTATTTTTAGAGAAATACATTATACATAGAATGTTTATTTCGTTTTCCAGAATTTGACATTCCCAGACCCAGTTGAATCTGCCCTGATCATCTCCTACATGCTGAAACAACAATACAGCTCCCAGCCCAGTGAGAGGACTGCTGTCATTGGCTGGGCTAAACAGTATGCTGTTACAACAGAAACAGTGAACCTTCTGGATAAATTGTTGTGGCAAGCTGCAGAGATTGTGCACAAAGAATTTTAGAACAGGAAATTTCAGTTTCGGTCTTGAGCAGTTTTGTTGCCAGATTTATGAAAGTGAGCCCAAAAATAAAATTAAAAAAAAACAGGAAGAAAACCTCTCTAATGTTGAGTTCAGAATGACTAAAAATTAACATTAAGATGATATTGAAAGACTTGCAACTTATCTGAAATAATAAAAAAATCATCATATGTACATAGTTTATTGTCCCTTTGCTTCAATCCATGTTTCAAAGCATATGCCTCGTATTTTGTCCCTATATAGGCCCGTATCCAACCGTTTTGAAAAATATATAATTTTATATATATATATATATATATATATATATATATATATATATATATATATATATATATATATATATATATATATATATATAGTATTTTATGAAAGAAGACAATTATAATAGTTTTGCAATACCTTTCCAGGGGCAGATCTAGGAATATTTGAAGGGGGGGGGTCTGCGGATGCGAATTCGACCCTCCCAATTTTGGTATTTTAGAGGACGAACGGTGCCATTTGGTACTGTTTAGAAGTATGATTTAGCTAGTCAAAATTCTTATTACAAGAGGGGACCATTAGTGTGATTTTTTTTTCAGAAATCAAAAGGACCCCCTGACCCCACTCTAATTCCGCCATTGCTTTCCCTTAGTGTCAATGTCAAGTTCGTTTTTCAGTAGGTCAAAACTCAAACGCACTTTCCTTCAGGATCGGTGCGTATCTTGAATTGCAACGTTTTTACATAAATGAATTACATTGTAGTACGTTGAAAAGTTATCAGCATGGTATGTTTCAGTCAAAGAATGCTAACCATTCCCTACACTTGCTTTATTTTGATATGAAATAATAATGACAAATTTAAATATAAAAGTAAAAATAAAGACAAACTACTTCTTTGACTGCAAAAAAAAA